ACTTCGTAAAATTAACTTAACACGGTTCGGTTTGCGGGAGGGAAAAACTGAGAGCGTCGCCCGCGGGATACTTCCCCAACACAGTTAGGAGATAGCTGTGTTTATGTTTGTGAATTGAGTTTAGATCTTTTAATTGCCATATCTTGTATCTGCCAAGCAATCATGGCACCCAGTAGGCATAAAAGTGTTACTGAAAGTGGCAAGGAAAGGTTTAAGTGTTTAAGTCTAGGAGTTACGAAGAAAATCGAGAGATTAGACAAGCTTAAGAGTGGCTCACGTGTGGTGGATATAGTGAGGGCCTATGGCCTTAATAAAGCATCAGTTTGTACAATTAAAAAGAACGAGGTGAATATATGAGCTTGTGTAATGAATAACCCAGGATGTCATCTCATGAAAAGAATGACACGTACATCACAACAAGCAAATAAAACTGGAAACTTGTTGCTTGAGTGGATCGACAGAGGGTGACAGAAAAAATATTTATTGACTGGTTTAAGCATCACTTTATTCCTGAAGTCAAGTTTTACCTGTACAGCAAAAACCTTGCATTCAAGGCTCTCTTCATTCTTGATAATTCCCGTGCTCATCCACAAGCTTTGTTGGATGTGACCCCACATGTAAAAGCTGTATTTTTACCTCCAAATACAACATCTTTAATACAACCACTAGATTGGGGAGTTATTAAGTCATTCAAGTGTAACTACACGAGAAAAGCTATGAAAAAACTAGTTGCATCAATGGACTCCAACCTGCCAGTAACAATTTAGCATTACAGATGGCATAAGCTATGCTAGAAGTGCATGGAATGAAGCGCCCCAGTCAACATTAAATGCAGGTTGGGGAAAGTTATGGCCTTCTGAAGTTAATTCTTTCACTGGTTTTCCCTTGCTTGAGAGTCAGGTTCAGAAAATTGTTCAGAAGGCAAGGAGATTACCAGTTGATAGTTTTGAAGATATGAATGAGCTCTTAGAAGATGATGATGATAAAGACAGGATTCCAGAGGAAATTTTGGCAAGGGAGCCACATAAGAGACGATGAAGAACCTGAAGAAAAACAGCTAACATTGCATCAGTTACGTGAGCAGTTCCATGTTAAATAAAAAAAATCACAATACTGTGACTGGAACGATACACAAATAGCCCGCACATAGCAGACTTTTTCCCTGAAGATGACCCTGACAAATCTAGAAGCAATGCTTTGGAAAGGGGTCTAGACCAGCTGATGATGCCTTACTATCAGCTGTATAATGTACTGCAGGGGAAAGGAATCCAGAGATCCATTACAAAATTTATGCACACTCCAATACCAGAACCTCTACCATCCAATAATGCCGACAACCAACAACCATCCACCTCAGCCCAGTATGGCCAGACCAGGCATCTCCCCTCTCTTCACAATCATCCACAAGCACCAGTACCCACAATTTAAGGTAAATACTATTATTTCTGTTGCCTTTGTAGCCTTAAGCAGTAAAAACATAATATATCACGACAATGAATTACAATTACATATTCACTTTTACTTTTGTAAGATCTCTTGGTCTAAAAAAAAGTTGTTTAGCTTTTGGGGGGGGGGCTCCCAGGAACGTAACCCTATTTTTCCCATAAGTTCTTCAGTTTATCTAATACAGAATTTACCTAACACGACGTTTTGAGGAACGTAACTACCGTATAATATAACGGTCTACTGTAATAATAATAATTATTATAATTATTATTATTAGAGGAAGAAAAATGTAGCAGATAACGTTGGTGATGTGTATAGGCAAATTAACAAAAAAAAATGATGTGGCTGATGTAATAGGATAAAAAAATCTGGACACTTTTTCAAAGAATTATGGAGAAAAGAGACGTGACTGTTGTTTACATGATATAGTATTTCTCACTGCTGCAATGAGAAATACACGAGTATTTTGTAGCTCTTATTGAAGGGTCATTAATTTATTTTCAATTTTTATACACTTTCCATAAATATTGAGACGTTTTCATTCTCATAGTTAAACTCGAACCTTGTAAACAGTAGATAAACCTGAATTGTGTTCCAGGGGTCAACGCCCCCGTGGCGCGGTCCATGACCAGGTATTGCTCAAGTTACTTCAGTTTGAAGGAACCAAACGTTGCTTTGCAGGTAACAGTTCAGACATGACACCAGTTACAGGACAAGTTTTTGTTGGGACAACTTTTATCTCTGTGTAGAACTAAACATTGTAATAATATAAGCTTGTTCTGCAGCCTGTAGCTTTCCTTCACTCAGTTGGAAGGATGAGACTGTAATGTAAATAAATACAACAGCTCACGTCCAGTCAAAATAAACCTCAATTTCCAACCCTCGAAGAGACCACAAGCAGCCCATTCTATGTACAATAACTCACGTCAAGCTAGTTACATAAGAACATAAGAACATAAGAAAGAAGGAACACTGCAACAGGCCTACTGACCCATGCAGAGCAGGTCCATGTCCCCCCCCAGATTAGACCAGTGACCCACCCCCTCCGCATTATCCCAATGGCATACCCAGTCTGGTCATCTCCACTCAAGGATGGAGCACTGCACCAGTCCCAGCAGCACAAGCTAGTCAGGTCCACCTCTTCAAGGGGGGGCTCCTTGGCGTGGTGAAGAGGCTCTTGGTCTGAGGAATTAGACCTGTTGGTCTCCTTCCTCAGACCGAACCTAATTACCCTTATCCCATCCTCCCTTTTTCTTTTCCTCCTCCTACTCCCCATCCCTCCCTATTACCCTTCCTCTTTTTTTTTCACAGGCACGCTAGTTCCTGGGTAGGGGAAAGGGTACTGGGGTCCATCCCATTCCATTGAGGTCCTTGGCGGTGGTGTAGTTTGCCATGGAATCTGGATCACCTGGGGATGTCCCAATTCCTCTCCAGTCTCCCGGGGAGTGGCTTTGGGTATCTTTCGGGCGACGGGTGTATCTCTGGAGGCTGCTTTTCGGATTCTGGGGGTGGTGGCCAAAGGAGGTATGCTTTGTGGCGGATATCCGGCCACCCTCTTTTTTGTCCACCGAGGTAGCTCGGCAGATGTGAGGTTGCTATCCCAGATTGCTGGTTTACTTGCATGATGGGAAGGGTATGGCACGGGTTCCACGCTGAATCTGCACTACTTGCATTGCTGAGGTCCTCTTGGGCACGGAGGGAGATTTCTGGCCCTCTCACTTCTCCCAGGAATTATCCCTCCCCAGTCCCCCCTTTTTTTATTCCTTTTTTTTATTTTTTATTTTTTTTTTCTTAAAAACAAAAAGAAAGAAGTAACCTAACCATGGAAGCCCTAGTCCATGAACCTGGTACCCCTAGGCCCCTTCTTGATACTGCACCCCGTTCTGACCCCACCTCGTCTTTGGGCCACTCTTCGGACACTCCTAATGCCTCTGTACCTCTTGCCGGTGCTGTTTCCTCACCCGCTTCAGGTACTGAGGTCTCGACTGACTCCTTAAATTATCTGACCTCCGCTCTCCTTTGACTATGCTTCCGGCCTTTCCCTCTACGGTGCGGCAGTTTTCGAATCGCCGGCCCGTTCCACGTCGGACCAACTCTGGTCCCACGCCTAAACGCCAATGACAATTACCTGCTGATGATACTTCTCCACCTTCTCGTTCTTCTCAGAAAAGATCGACACGTCCTGCACTCCCTTTCCACACTCAGTTTCAGAATGCACAATGGACTAAATTCTTCACTTTATGACCGACTTCCTCTATTGCCTATCTTTCCGACCATAGTATTGGCAAGGCACTCCTACGCCATGTTGATAAAGATATTTCTTTTCATGTTGTTAGGTAAGACACAAATGCAAGAGTTAGGTATCTTTATTTCGAAACGTTTCGCCTATACAGTAGGCTTCTTCAGTCGAGTACAGAAAAGTTGATAGAAGCAGAAGAGACTTGAAGACGATGCAATCAGTCCATCACCCTTGAAGTTTTGAGGTGGTCAGTCCCTCAGTCTGGAGAAGAGTATTGTTCCATAGTCTGAAACAATAGGGAGTAGAAGTGACAGGATGGAGCCTTATATACCGCCAGGAGGTGAGAAGTAGGCCACTAGTAGAGGTAAGAATGTAGTCGTTGGGAGATCATGTCCCTCTCAAATCCAGTCATTCTCACTAGTAGAAGTTGTACAAGTTGATTTCAGTTCTGTACCAAGATACCATTGTGTTGCAGTGTCTGACAGAGTGAACACTGAAATGGTATAAAATACCGACAGGTTGTTTGGTAAGATACACATGCAACGGTTAGGTACCTAACTGTTGCATATGTGTCTTACCAAACAACCTGTGGGTATTTTATACCATTTCAATGTTCATTCATGTTATGCAGATGATGGAGCCCTGAACATGTTATGCACCTTTTCAGCAGTGGAGTAATCACATCTGGACTCTTTGTAAGCCAGTGCTGCACTGGGTTTTGGAGCTGGAGCAGCGTGAGTCTTCTACTCGGAAATGACCCTGATGTAACTTGAATCCTGTATTCCTTCTGAGTTACCAAGGCCATCCAGAAGAATTTGTTTTATTAGCTCGCCCGATACTATGGAGAGGATAAGAATGCTCGTATGGTAGTCTAGGAGGATTTAGATGCTTCCAGACCACCAAGCCTGATTGGAAGAAAAGCTTGCAGCCACTGCCCATCCTCAAGCAAAATATTCAGTACACTCTAGCATGATCTTTAAGAGGGAATCATATTTCTCGAATTTTGGACTGTTGAAGGCAGGGGAGCATCTCAAGAAGTAAGTGAATTTTTGGAGGGATAGGCATCTGGTGAGTAAGTAGAAGGCATCATGTGTATATGTGTCCTATATCCTGCCTTCCATCAACCTAAGGTCTGAGTTTTTTTTTTTTTTGTTATGAATCAGATCAGTAGCACTGGACACGAGAGGAGCACCAACGAAAGTGCAATTGGCTGGATCGATAGTTCGTGTTGTTGGAAAAGCAGTAATATCCTCAATGATCTGTCAAATGGTAGAAACTATTTTACATTTGGCGGGGTTTAAAAATAGGCCCAGGCTCTCTTTAATTTGTTTTATTTTCCTGATGTCCTCTAGTCTGACTGGTGTATCTCTGCCTTAGAATGGATTGCATGTGTAGGATATATTCAGGAACAATGTTACTTTTATCCATATTCTTAATGTGTGAAATGCTGAAGTAATGACCAATATGTAGTCGAGAAACTACAAATCTGTCAAAGTGATGTTGAACAAAAAGCAGAGCTTTTAAGATATTCGTATGGTGTAAAATCTATATAAATCATCTCCGTCATTTGTTATGATCTGGTATACTCCATTCTTCACATTGCGGTGCCGTTTGGATCCCTGAAAATTCCCATGAAAAGAATGTTGTTGGTAACTTTGTCAGTAATGACGAAAGCAAAGGGGTGATCACAAGTAAAGACACGAGGGGGTGGTGGTCGTCCGAATACCGATGTTACTTCCAAAATTAGCGCCGTAGCTGCTGCTGCTTCTGTGCCCTCTTCAGTAACCTCCACCACAGCCTTGTGGATCCCTTTCGACACAAACAATCGTCCAGCAGGATCAAAGTTTGAAAGGTCAGAAGCGCTCGTGAACAGGTCCTTAATCCCCAGACGATGAAGAGCCTGGAGAAGAGAGAAGATCATTGCAACAGAGAACAGATTCATGTTTCCCAGAAAATTGAATTTCTCTGCCAGCAAAGTAGACTAAGATTTCTATAAAAGTGAAAGTAAACAGAATTTTAACTGAGACATAACGTAATGCGTCAGTTGTTTATACAAGACTGCAGAGTTAGGTCCTTAACATAACATCCTTTTTTTTTTTAGATCATCGAGAATGTTAATTAACGCCCTGTACGTAATACTGCCTTCTCAAGCTTAAACAAATTGCATTGGAACAGAAACGTTAAACGTTCCAAAGGATTCTACTATGCCCCGCGGTACCAGAAATGACTTTCCTTTGCAAGTTATTTTATTAGAGTCGAATTATTATTCGCAATTATATATTTTTCTTGCATGTAACTTAACCTAGAATAAGAAATATATTTTATATACGTTTATATCATGCAAAAATTAATGAATTATACGTACAACACATGATAATTCTCTGCCTATATAAAGTACAAATTATATACAGTACTGAATTTTTCAGTCATGTCCTACATTTGATATCACCTTCACCACATGTCTTACACCTCCTCATATGTTTCACCATCACATTTTTTACACCACTACATATGTTACACCATCATACATGTTTCACCATACTTGTTACACCACATATGGTACACCATCACATATATTATACCACCACATATATTGAATTAATTTATTAGCAGAATGAGAAAAAAGTGTAATATGTCTGGTATATGGGAATGACATGACGAAAGGGATAGATTCGGAAGTGTCCCTGTTTACAGATGATGTAAAGCTAATGCGGGGAATTCAAACGAATGAGGATCAAGTAGGACTACAAAAGGGTGTGAACAGGCTGAAACATTGGGGAAAGTCAGAGAAGACCGCAAAAAGAGTACAGGCTAGAGGGCCAAAGACTGCAAACTTTACTCAACCAAAAAGATCTTGGGATGAGTATAATATCGAACGCATCTCCTGAGGCTCACATCAACCAAATAACTGGTGCAGCATATGGGCGCCTGACAAACCTAAGAATAACGTTCTGACATCTAAGTAAGGAGTCATTCAAAACACTGTGCACTATGTATGTCAGGCCCATAATGGAGTATGCAGCACCAGTATGGAACCCACACCAAGGTGTGCAACAAGATTAGTCTCGGAGCTAAGGGGTATGTACTACGAGCAGAGGTTAAGGGCAATGAACCTAACGACACAGGAGGACAGGAGGGATAGGGAGGGTATGATAATTCCATATAAAATGCTGAGAGGTATTAACAAGGTGGATAGGGACAGAATGTTTCAGAGAAGGGTCAGAGCAACAATGCGTCACAACTGAATACTGAAGACTCAGATGAGTCACATGGATATTAGGAAGTGTTTCTTGAGTCACAGAGTTCTCAGGAAATGGAACAATCTGGAGAGTGATGTAGAGGAGGCAGGATCCATACAAAGCTTTAAGAAGAGGTTTAATAAAGTTCACGGAGAAAGGAGAGTGCGTCTAGTAGCGACTAGTGAAGAGGCGTGATCATGCGCTATTAATCGACCCCGGCAACTGCAAATAGGTGAGCACATACACACACAAACACACCCACAAACACACACAAATACACACAAATACACAACCACAATTAGGCGAGCGCACGCGCACACCACACACACACACACACACACACACACACACACACACACACACACACACACACACACACACACACACACACCACAACACACACACACACACACCACACACCACACACCACACACACACACACACACACACACACACACATACACACATACACACACACACACACACACACACACACACACACACACACACACACACACACACACACACACACACACATATATAGCAGTGCAAAAGGACAGAGGAAGAGTGGAAGAGAAAACTGGGAGAGCTTTCTACAAAAATGGAGGCAGAGCTTTCTGTGAAATTGGAAAAGAGGTTAGAGGAGGTGAAGAAAAATTGGGAGTCCCAAGTCGAAACTGCAGTAGCTAGGATAAGGGACCTAGAAGAGGAGGCAAACAGGCTGAAGCGAGTTACAGGGGTATTAACCAGAGAAGACACAGCATATGAAGCTGGGAGGTCCAATGGGAACGAAGGAGGTATAAATAATAAAAAAAGGCATAATACCGTGACTGGAACGATACACAAATAACCCGCAAATAAAAGAGAGAAGCTTACGACGACGTTTCGGTCAGACTTGAACCATTTACAAAGTCACACTAACCAGAAGTGGAGCAGGACGGCTATATATAGGCAGGAAGAGGTGGTGGTAGTAGTAGTAGTAGTAGTAGTAGTAGTACAAGAATGGTATATAATACCGACAAGATGAAATTAAGACACATGCACAACACCCGGGCATCCCTATCGTAGACGTTTCGCCATCAAGCCAGCCACTGGATGGGGAAACGTCCACAACAGACACACCCAGACGCTGCACTAACACTCTTCGCACTAATCTCATTCATACCTCTCCTCCCTCTACAGATGTTCCTGTGTCTACTCTATTTCTTGTTCCTCCTGTCCTCTTCAATACTTCGGTGAAACTGGTCGATCTCTTTCTGACAGACTTAGGGAGCACAAAAATAGTTTTAGGTTTGCCGACACTAACAATGCTCTTTTCTGTCACGTCAGAGATCATAGCCATCCTATTGACTGGTCTTCAGCTAAAACTGTCTTCCCTACTTCCAACTCGAACAGTCGCCATCTAGTTGAATCCTCTCTAATACACAACTTTCTTGTATGAATCTTAGCCCTGGCTTCGTCTCTGTAGATGCCTTCCTCTCCCACTACATTGTAAAATGCTCCAAACTTCAGAACACCAGTGACTTAACCTGACTCCTCATTTTTCCTTTTCTTTTTCTTCTTCTCCCTCTTCTGCTTTCCTCTTTCCTTTTTCTCCTCTGGGTTGTCTTTCTCACTTCTGTCTCGTGTTTCTGTTCCTTCATTTATTTCACCACTTCCCCTTTCATGCACCTCTGTGCGCTTGCTCTCCCTCTGTGGGCACCTAGCTCTCTTGCAGTGCTCCCCTTCCTTTGTTTTTGACTGGCTCGTCCTCCTTATTCCCCACTTCTACCACTACTACTCCCTCTTCTACTTCTATTACTACTACTACTACTACTACTGATGAAATTAAGACACATGTGCGGCGTCTGGGTGTCTTTGTTGTGGACGTTTCGCCATCAAGTGGCTGGCTTGATGGCGAAACGTCTACGATAGGGATGCCCAGGTGTTGCGCATGTGTCTTCATTTCATCTTGTCGGTATTATATACCATTCATGTACTACTACTACTGCTACTACCACCACCTCTTCCTGCCTATATATAGCCGTCCTCGTTCCCATTCTGGTTAGTGTGACTTTGTAAATGGTCCAAGTCGGACCCGAAACGTCGTCGTAAGCTTCTCTCTTTTATGTGCGGGTTATTTGTGTAGGAGGTACAACACAGAGGCCATATCAACCTACCAAGTAGGGCCAAGGAGTGAAGGGGAAGAGCAGCTGGGTGCAGGTGGAGAGAGGGATAGGTCAAATGCAGTGGCATGAAGGTGCCCCCAGAGCTACGGGAAAAAGCAAGGGAGAAAATGGCAATGTACAGACAGGAGCAAAGAATCATAGAGGGAAAGGTAATGGGGGGAGGAGGGGTGAAGTCAGTGAAATATTCATGGGCTTCAGGAGAGCGAGGGAAGGCACACACTGAAAAAACGGCATGCAAAAGAAAGGAGACGGAGAACATCACAGAAATAGATGAAGAGGACATGTCGAGATTGTAAATTTTCAGAGAATAGGGAATATTCGAAGGGGAGAAAATGACCGATAAAGCTGATTTTCAGGACAAAAACAGTGCAGAACAGGATTCTCCAAGAGAAACCATGGTTGAAGGACTCGGCAGAATACAAGAGGGTGTTCCTAAACTAAGACAGAACACAAACAGAATGACAGCAGCTGGGGGATAGGACACAAAAGCAAGAGGAGCTAGGAGGAGAGACAAGGATAGAATCAGCAGAGGACAACCAGAGCAGGGCAGAGCAACAAGAGCAAGCACACACACAACTATCTCTAGAACCCCAAACCAAATCATGCTATCCAAAACACAAACCACAACCCACACCCCAGCTCCCACCCCAACACTCGCTATGGGAATCCCACAGTATACTGCCAGGTCCCCCACCATCACAGACCCACCAAAACACAGTTTTGGAGAGGAAACTGAAAGTATGGTACACAAATGCTGATAGAATAACAAATAAGTGGGCGGAGTGGGCACGAAAACAGTCAAAGAGGTATCACTGGGCATCACAAAAATCAAGCTTGCAGGTATAACAGATGCCATCTTTCCAATGGGATATCAGATCCTGAGGAAAGACAGAGGGAACAGAGGGGGTGGAGGAGTGGCACTGCTAGTCAAAAACCAATTGGATTTTGATGAACTGGAGAGAGGAGACAGAGGAGAATCAAGAGATTACAGAGTAGGAATGCTTCAGTCTGGAGGTTCAATGGTGATGTATAACCCACCACAGAACAGGAGGAGGCCAAGGTAAGAGTATGATGAGAGAAATAGAGCGATGGTTGACACACTGGCTGAAGTGGCAAGAAGGGCTCATGCGAGCAGGGAAAAGCTATGATCATGGGTGACTTTAACCACAAGGAAATCGATTGGGAGAACTTAGAGCTACATGGGGGCCAAGAAACGTGGAGGGCTGAGTTGATGGGGGTGGTACTGGAAAACTTCATGTACCAACATGTAAGGGACACTGGCAGAGAGAGAGAGAGAAGAGAGGATGAACCAGCGAACTGGACCTAGTATTCACCTTGAGTAGTGCAGATATTGAGGACACAAATACGAAAGACCCCTTGGGCCAGCGATCATGTGGTTTTAAGATTCGAATACACAGTAGAGTAAAGTGGAGGGGGAAGCAGGAAGAGCCGGACAAATGAAGCCAACACAGGAAAGGGAACTACACGGAATG